CTTGCGCCGCTCTCCAGGTTCCCTCTCTGCCGCCCATATACTTACTTGCCGGCTCCGGCAGGGTGTGTGAGACGCTCCCAGAAGGGCCGTGCACGCCGCTAAATAGACTGTCGGCGACCAGCGCACTGTGTACCCCTCGGCAAACATCAGACGCCTTTTTGTGCGCGGTAAGCCGGTACTGGTGTGGCCGGTAACGCCGTTGAGTGGTGTGGGATGGTTGTATAGGAGCTCCAGAGAGCTGATGCAGGAAGCTCCAGAGAGCTCCAGGGAGCTTTAGGAATCAGGGGACTAGCTGCAGCGCCGGACGGGCTGCAAACTGACGGAGTGATCTGAGGAGCTGCTGATAGGGGTTGGGGAACAGCAGGGGGCAGCTGTTCAAATGTTCAAGCGTTCACGTTTTGGTGGACCGAGCCATCTAGGGCAACTAAAACGTGAATTCGTACTCTTGTGTTATTTCTTCAAGATTAGACAGTCGTAACGATCTTACATCGGGTTCATCTCGCTCTATTGGCTCTCTGGGGGTTTCGAGCCTTCCCAGTATCTTGATTTTCTCTGTGCCTTTTTCTCATCTCTGTATTTACTGTGTTCCCATGAGCTCTATGTGCTCCTCCGTGCTCCTCAGTGCTCCTCTGTGCTCTCTGAGTTCCTCAGTGTTTCAAGCACTCTTCGCCTCGACCAGTCGCATCCCACGACAGAAGGTGCACGTCACCCGTGTCGGGACGGCGGCGGCGGCGGCGGCGGCGCCTCCTCTATGGTCGACGGCAGCGGTGACGCCGCCCCATCCAGCAGGTCTGTGATTAGCTCAGTGGACTGATGACTGGCGACCGCCCCTCAGTCACGACCTCACAGCCGAGAGAGACGTCCCGGGAGGTGCGGGCCGATCCGTGTGATGGCAATGCATTAAAAATGCGACCGGTTAGCGACTAGCGAAGCATATTGCTGCGTGAGAAGTAGACACCATCAGAGTGTATGTGTAAGTAACTAAATGCCTCGTAACTAATTTCTGCGATTTACGCATATTGCAAATTGCTCAGTACATTATACACGCGAGGCATTTATTCCGTGCCGATCCCCCATTTACCTGGATAAGAGTCACTTATGTGTAATACGAAACTACACGTATGTAAGAGGGGTGATGTATTGCGTCCTGGCATCATTCATAAATTTTTGCAGAGCTAGTGCTCTTAGACAGGAAGCTGGGGTAGAATACGCTAGCTTAGTTGCCAAGTCATGAGAAAACACCTCAAACAGCCGGTAAAGTGATGAATGATATTATCTTCTTTATTGTTCCGTTCGCTGTTACGCGAGCCGAATGGCAAGGTCGGACACATTGAAAAAAGCGTCGTGTAATGTCATAAATCTACCAGCAAGAAACTCAAGTGTTTAGCTTCAAAATAGATTAAGACAATTGACCTTTCGCCTTCGCGCTGTAAACCCCTGACCCCAATGACCAGAGTGGGGTTGCGTGTTAGAACGCAGGGAATTAATGTGCGTGACGCTATCAAGTCTATCGTTGCGTGTGCTGACTTCTTACTCGACGGGTCAACTCGTTTTAAAACATGGCCGTCGCTCGTTACGCGCGAGGTTCCTATATGGAATGGAATTAAAGGGCAATCGTTCTGGCGTAACGCATAGAGAACGGGCAAGGGCGAACATAATATTTCATTACACTCCCAAACTCCAGGTCGATTTGCCTTCGGTCGAGATGACACCATGGATGAAATATCCATTACGAACCTCCCAATCAGCGCATTAGTGATAAACTATCACAATCACCAGTGAAAGCAGAATGTCACCACCCCCGTTATCGTCACTACGCGCCGTGACTGAAACAATTCCATCGACAGCGCTGAGCGCGTGCAATTGTCGACAAGGCGCCGTTCCACGCCACTACGCCGCCTCAATTTATCACCATCAATTTGTTGGTGAGTGCCGCCCGCGCCGCAGATCGGCGTTCCAATGTACCATTCGGCTGATCAGCAGCGACACTTGCATGACCTAATGTGCGAATCCGAACACATAAAAGACACTATAACGTTCAAGAAGCCATTAGACGGCGCTCCGAACGGATGCGGCTGCGCATTTCAGTGCATATATTGGCGTGGAATAGCATTGCGCCGCCCTTAGAGCGGCGATAACGCTGATTTAGGGCCCGGTCCGAGTGGGCCGAATAATACAGCTCTCATACCGCCGGTATGTCGCCCCTCCGCGGCCGGTTCGTCACCCCTTCCGTTCTCAGGAAGGCCGCCATTGGATGCCGCACTAAATTACCGGTGTCACGTCTCATTCAGCCATATGAAAAATGTTACACAACTGCACAAAGTCGCCGCATTAAAAGCGGCAGACGGCGCGGCTCGCCGGCAATCGCGGCGCGACTAAATCAAATACCGGCGCGCTTTGTCGCGCCGGGACAGGTGAGTGTGTGCGGCGGGCGCGCGCGGCCGACGCCGGGCCCAAAAATGTCAGCCGGACCGCGCGCCCGGCCGGACAGTCAATTAAACACGCGCGGGCTATTGTGGTGAGGTGCGGCGGGCACCGACGTCTATTGTTGATAGTCAGAGTGACTCCTGCCCGAGCCGACACCTCTGAGTCCGCCTTCACACCGACGGCGCCGGCCCGTAATGGGTTCATTCCGTCGGGTCTCCGCGGGGTGCCGGTTCGCGTCCCACCGCTGGCAGTGTTTTCCGCCAGTGCAGTCAGTTGACGGCGCTGTACCCGGGTGGTCTCCGCTCGTGACACGGGCCCGGTCACGGCGATCAGTGCCGGCCGTGACCGGCGTCTCCAAAGGCTCGCCGCCGCCGCCTCGGCCGCCGGCCATTACCGTGACTGGGAGAAACAATGGTAGCCGCGGGCCGGCGGCGGCTCCGCTGCTGTGAAACAGGAGTCGACGCCGACGGAGCATAGCTTTCATGCTCCCCTAAGGGATGAGAAGGGGAGGTGTGGCCGGGAGTGGTTGACTAGTCTGAGAATTGCTTCTGAACCCATCTGTGGTCGAAACTTATCCCGGCCGGGCCCGGGGGGTAGTCCCAACCACCGCAGCCCGGGGGGGGGCGTTTTTCGCCCCCCCCCCGTCTAACTCCGTAAATAAGGGAGCTACGGAAACAAAAGCGATACCAAACGAAAGGTCCTTACGAGACGATTCTAATGCACCTAAAATTTTTGACCTCAGGTCAATTTTCAAGGTCAGAGGTCAAGGTCAAAGGCCAAAACCGGCACATGTGTAGTGATCTCAAAGTAAGCCTTCTAGAGGACGGCAGGCTGCATCAAACCGGCAAAATTGGGTGTCAAACGAAAGAAGAGAATCTGAGGATTCTGAAAATGTGCTCCAAATCAAAGGTCAAGGTCAAGGTCACGCTCAAAATTGACCTCAAACTTGGCATTTTTTCGCACATCTTGCGTGCTAACTTCCAAGATGTTTTGAAATGTTTTGAGGCTTATCAGTTCCCTATTTGTGGTTCATCTTACGATACAAGGCTGCTCAAAGGTCAAGGTCACAGAAGAGTATCCCTGCTAGAGGTGATTTCACTGATTCAAGTTAGTAATAATAAATAAGATAATTTTGCCATCCGGAAGCTCTAAATGAAGGCTTAGAGGAAAATAGATACCAGATTCGTGATCAGCGGGTACAAATCCATCATAAACGACCTTTCATGTGTCAAGGTCAACCAGAGGTCATTCGAGGTCACATGAGGTCAACATGAAACTTGACTTTTTCCGAACAAAATATGTATCATTCGACGCGGCTTGACAAGGCGAATGCGATGGTACCACTGCCGTAGCTCTAGGACCATTTTTGTCGAAGTTATTTGCGAAAAACTAAAACCACATTTCGGGGTCGTTGACCTGACCTCTGACCTCAGGTCACCAAAACTATTTTTCTATTTTTCTCTAGGTCAAACGCTACACAGCCGTGCTCGTAATTTGTCTTTATCTCTAAAACTCTATTTTAGCAGCTATTTGAAGTTTGCGTCTGTGACGCCGATTTTTGCCGTGCAGGGGTCTAGAAAAATGGACCTTGTGACGTCATCAAGGGGGATAGGTCCAAATTTTTTACTTCAGAAGATGTCAAATTGATGGGAGAAAAGGTACTGAAAGTTTCGCCTTCCTATCCCTAAGCGTTCGGGAGTTATCGCAAATATTCGCCAGGGGGGCGAAAAACGCCCCCCAGGCCCGCGAGGGTTATACGCGTTTATTGTCCTTAGTGCGAAGCTTTTCACAAAATTGGCCATGATGCTTCGAACCTAAACGATTTCAGATAATGGTTACAGGCGATTGAAATCATTTGCGACTTTCCGATTTCCCTGTCATAATTAAGACTGCAAGAATATACACCCTTACGACGCTTAGAAAGGAATAAAACACATTCCTTTGTAAGTGTTACAGGAGTAAAACAAACGTTGTTTAATTGTAACTATGAACGGTCCCCTTGTCCATGTCTGTCGATTCAAGTCTGTTTGTATGTGTCATTGTTTGAATACGTGTATGTACATTTGGCTTCCTATGCATTTGTCTGTCCGTGTCTGCCTCTGTCTGTCTGTGTCTGTCTGTGTCTATATCTGTGAGTGTCTGCGGGCGGTTCACACGTCTGTCGCTTACCGGCCGGCTCCGAGGAACCGCTGAAGGTCGGCCACCACCCCTGCTGCCCGCAGCCCCCGACTGACCGGCCGGCCGGGCTGCCCGCTTTGTCCGACCGACCGTGATCTACGCCCGTCGTGAGAACAGCCCACCCCACCAGCCTATCACCTCGAGCACGGCACAAGACACGGTTGGGAGGCACCGCGAAGTCGCTCGGAGAGAAACGGGTTTGATTTTAAGCATGTGACCGAGTCGTTTCCCCGGACGACAGCAGATAGTCGACCAGCGGAAGATAGGTAAAGTAAAACATGTCTAAATTCCGAAATGAAGGTTACCGCCACTGCTGGAGTCGAAATTGACAGCACACGGAGACGGAAGAAGAGTAATGGTTCGATGTTCGCTGCTCAGGACTCATTCAGAAGCAGTTTCCGTCTTTGGCATGTATTTCAGAAAGCGTGCGCCACAAAACAGTACGCCTTGTCCCAATATGAAACACATCGCCAAGCCCGCTTAGCACTTTCACACCAGGAACGACGAAAAAGGTAAAACATGCATGGAGGCCCGTAAAGGAAGTTCGGAAGCAAACAGTTGCAAATGACATACACCGCTTGGAAGCCACATGTTACCGGCAGATTTGATTCATTGGCAGCAGCGAACATCACGCAATGAGCACAGTGTAGGCGGCATAAATAACTGAGCGTTCAAACGGCGCGTCTGCGGAGCACAGACGGATCCTACGCTATTATAGGAGCCGCTGATACAGCGGCCGAAGGAACATAGGCAGCTGCTCAGGTAACGACGGAGACGGTACCCCAGCCGCGCGGAACGACCCGGCGACGGGGTGTGCTGAGACCGTCCTCCCAGACTACCGATCACCTTGGTAACTTTATATTGCGTGTGAATGTCACCGCATAGAACAGAGGAGCTATGGAAATATTTGTTCAACAATGAAGGTATGGCTCAGAGGACATATAGGTAGCTGATGACAGGTTTTGGCAGCCTACGAGAAAATCATGCTCGAGAGGCTTACTGAAAGAGAGCGAGACCGGTGTGAATGTGAGAAGTTTGAGCCGCAATCTTATATGAAATGCAGTCCTTTTTTCGTAATCCTTTGAAAACGTTATCCAGAATAGAAGTGGAATTGAGATTTCCATTCAGTTTCATCGCAATCCCGACACTATATGCAAAACACTTCTAAAAAGAGTTAAAGCATGTCATTGTCATGGTGGTTCAGTGCACTAGCTACTCCTCGGGCGGTATCCGCCTCAGCCCCCGGCTGTCCCCCTCCCGACCGGCATCTATCACACCCAAATCACATTTGGTCCACCACCCGTCTAGGAACAGGAGCCATGTGACCTTCCAGAGATTGCTGACCTCACACTGCCCTCAGTTTCGTAGCTCTTCATACCTTCCCCGTAGTTCTCCCATACTTTCATCGTCCTTCGTTTTGCAAGTCTTCTTACCTCCCTCCCCTTCAGTCTCGAAGCTCTTCCTACCTCCCTCGCCCGCAGTCTCTCCTTGACTTTCTCCCTGATTCTCTTCCGCCGGGCTAATTCAGCCCCACTCGTTCCTTTTCATCTCTTGAAACCTCATGCGACCTGCGTCCATGCTCCCAGAAAACAAGGCTGGCATCGCGACCACAGTTGGCGATGGCCAAAGGTGCCAGTCTCGGACTCCAGCCTCCCCTCCTCCCTCACCTCCCCGCCCACACAGCCCCGGCGACTCCTACCCTCTCCTCCCGCTCCTCTCCCGTCTGCCTGGATCAGACTCCCAGGCAGCGCAGCTTCTTGGCCGGTACAGCGCTGGTGAACTGGAAAGACGTCGTGCGCTGGGCGGCAGGAGCCACCTCTTCGTCTTCCGAAGAGCTGACTGGCGATGGCGCGCGCTCCCCCATCAGCGTCCGCAAGCAGAGGCGCGCTTCCTTGACGCGTAGCCGCACCAATTGCTCTAGTTGAAAGAGATGCTCGTCGCGGCACTCGGGCACGTGCTCGTGCATGAACTCTGCCAGCCGCAGGACATACTCGACGTTGTGCCCGGAGGCCCCGCGCGAAGAGACCACCTGGTCGGCGATCTGGTGAAGCGGCGCGTTGCCTAGCCAGTGCTGTGAGCTCGGCGTGGCCACGTACAGGAGAGCCGGGAAGGCGGCGCCCTCGCGAGGGTAGAACTCGGTGAAGAGGGTAGTGTATCCGCCTAGGGTGACCTCTCGGCCGTTGAGGTAGCTGAGTGCCGCCTCGCCCACCAGCTCGTAGGCGACGCCGTGTGTAAACGTCTGAGGGATGGAGAGGGGCCAAGTCAGGTCACACTGGTGGGTCAGATAAGGTAAGGTGGACCACGTCAGGTCACAGACGGGTCAAGTCACGCATAGGTCAAGTCAGGACGCAGTAAAGAAGGGTCAGGTCACGGACCAGGTCAGCGCCAGGACCAGGTCAGGTCAGACCACAGATGTGTCAGGTCACGGCAGTGATAGGTCCGACAATATATGTCACGGGTCAGCCGTGAGGTCACAGTAGAGTGCCAATAAGGGTATAAGCAAATGATGGTTCAATCAAATGAAGATTCAGTAATGAAATGGCCAATCCCCATTCATCAAAGGACAAAAGGTCATCGACATTATGTCACAGATCCTGTCCTCCATGGTGTCATTGGTTGAATGACGTATATCCATGACCTTCACCACCCCTTTGTGACATTTCTGCCCACCCCCCAGCTGTCAAACTGCAGGATCCGGTGGGAGGGGACAAGGCAGGAGGGGTGTGGGAGCTGACACAGACACACCCACCAGCAGCTGTCGGTGGAAATATTGTGACAGGTGTGTAAAGCAGGATGATTTTTGCCCTACTTCAGACACTAAAAGATGGTAGACGTTTTTTTATAGAGATGCCCACATGACCGAGTAAATGAATGCTTGGAGCTGAGAACCGCGATGGGTGTGTGTTACGTGCCCTAATTATTGTTCAGCAGGGATGTTACCGTAAGACATGCCTAACTTTAGTTGCTACTTAGATTACAACGAGTTGTCAGAAGTGACTGCCGTTTTTGTTGCTCGTGTCGCCCCGAGGCAACTCTCTGTGACCGCTGTCCCAGCAAGGCAACGCCGCTGGGAAACGGGTCAAGGCTCGACTGTGGCGGCAGCGGCGCTACTCCTCCCCCCAGCGGCGCACCAGACCACCCCCGCCTCTGGGGCTCTCAAACTAGCGCGCACCGACGGTCAGAGCCCATCAAACTTCCCTCTCACCACACAGCCTAACGGCAACAATAGACGGCGATTTGCAACCAGTTTACAGCGTTTCGTCTACGCTATCTGCTGACGTCACAGGTCGGGCCGTGTTGACGTCAGCAGTTCCGGTCTTTCCGCGTAGCTGACGACGTTCGACAGCGGGCACCGATGGTTTGTGAGCCCCAGATGCGCTGGTTTGAGAGCCCCATCGATCTGGCTCCAGCAGAAGACCGCGAGAGGTTATGAATGGGGAGGGGGCGGGTCGGCGGTCGGTGGCACCGCAAGACTGCAGCACAGACAAAGACACGTGTGTGCGTATAAGGAGGTCACGGACAGGTCACAGCCATGTGATACTAACCCCGTGTCCTCTAGTCTATCGTTCGGCGCCGCTAACCGAAAGGCCGAATGGAGAAATGTCGCACACAGTCAGGTGCACGAAGCTCTGGTGTGACATTTGGCAAATGACGTCAACTGTCAAAACCCACCGAGGGGCGTGGGACGTGAGTGGGACCTGCACAGCTGTGACCTCCACCGCGGAAAGCCGTCTGTGCCTCACCAGCTGAGACCAGACTGTGATAAGTGTCGCCGGAAATAGCTGATTCCGGCGGTTAGGGGGGCGACCGCCTCGTCTCCCCGGGGCATCCCTGGGTCACCCTGACAGCTGCTGGGCACCCCTCCCCTGCCTCCGCGGTGCACAGCGGTGGCCATGATACCGGATTATAGACAGGTTTGCAGAGAAAGGATAAGAGTCGCGCAGTAGGCACTCTCACTCACCCCTCCCCACAGAAAATATCACAACAAAAGGGCGAATTTACTCACCTCACCGTCTTCAACAAGTGTGGCGACTCTCCCGGGCTGCAACAGACAGAGAGCGAGCGAGGTCAGCGTACGGTGTGCCGAACGCACACCCCACGCGCAGCGCTGGCGCACAGCGAGGTCGAGCGCAAACTCGGTCACGCACGGGCCGCGTGACCACCTCCCCGCTGCAATAACACAGCTCCAAAGGGGTTGAGGGTGATAATACTATCTCCACATGCACATATCAAGCCATGTTACATACTGACCCAGTTTATACCAGCGTTAATTAACCGATACCGATAACATATGGCACCTACCTTGCCCGGAACTCCTCGATGGGTGGTGTTGCCCTGCCAAAACCGGCGCGAGAAGCCTTTGATGTGGCCGATTCTCGAGCTGCGGTACTCGAAGCCGGGGTACCAGCACAGGGAACCGTATCCAAACACCCACAAGCTGTGAGAGGCCATCTTGCACCGGTTTGGAGTCGTTCAGGGCAGCGCTCACGGGAGCGCGCGCGCACACGGTCAGCTGTTGGACGCGACGGAGCCGCCTCGTCGGAGCGCACCCGGACCCGGCGCCGTCAGCTGATTGCCTCGGCCGTCCGCTGATGGCAGTCGCTCGCCGCTTGCGTCACCCTGCACGCGGAAGAGACCGGTTCGATACCTGGCCGCGACGGGAAGTTTCCGCAACTTTCGCGGAGGGACGGTCCGGGATGGTAATTGGGACGTTCTCAGGCACTGAGTGACCCGAGGATAGAGCACCAGTGCCTTATATTGATCGGTGAGGCAGTACGCACTTGGCCGGCCGATGAGTCGACCGTGGAGTGGTGCCAAAATACTCAGCGTGGCCGGGTTCCCCGCTCTCAGGGGTCCGCTGGGCGTGCAGGGGTCAGAGGTCAGAGCAGCAGTGTTATCTCCGACGGCGGGACGTCACTGCTGCTGTAATGGCCCACTTCAGGAGGCCATTGTGAGATCCCCGGCGACGACAAACAGTATAGTGTCACCGCTATCCTGTGACACTGCTCTCGAAGTCTGGCGGTGGTCCAACTGGTCCCCGCTGCCACAGGAAGGCCCTGTCTGATCCGACCCGGCGCCGGCGGCAGAATACCGTGACACGCCCGACCGTGACGCCGCGCTCCGTGACTCTTCTGGCCGTGACGCGCGCTGCGTGACGCGTCTGTCACCAGTGGAGGGGCTGACCCCCGTGACGTCATTGGGGGTCTGTGACGTCATTGATGTCTAGCTGACCGGCCGGGTGATGACCGGCCGACGGTCTGAGTTGGCCCAGTGAAGCGCCACATCGCACGATATTTCAGGCCTGGCCCAAGGGCATTGCTCCGCCGCCGTCGCCGCCGACGGATCGACCACGCCCCCCGACAGTCCCGCCCCGCCCCTCATCAGCTGACGAATCGACACGGAGATGGCACGACATGTGTGATGAGGTCGAGGGCACGTGGCGATGTTGACACGTGTACCGCGCCTCTCAGAAAAGCCGCCGGTGGATGTGAGACCGCGGACGATGACTGCCAACTGTGTGAAGATGGAATGTTGATTCTTTTCCGGTACATCGGAGATGCAGTGTGTGAACCACTGCCAGCCCCTCCCCGCCTCGCCCTGCCGGCGAGCTGCTTTGACGTTCATCAGAGCCAGGGTTTTACGCGCAGGTACTCGTAAATATTGCCAGTCACGCGTGCTTTGATACACTTACGGCCAAGCGGGTGGGTGGGAGTGCCACTGTCAAGTACAAGGTTATCGGACATGACTCAGGAAGTCTTGTCATACTGTGACGTGAGCGGCGAGTAAGTACGTTTGCACCTGTGTTTACATCGAGGATGTTTTATAAAACCGGTTTTGCTAATTACATAGACGTTGGTATTCCTTGTTTTGTTCCAGAGTTATTACCTATTGTGACTGAGTGCGACTTGGTGCAGGAGAGCATAATATTATCTCTCAAAGTGAACAAACAAGAGCTGGACTATCTGTTTAGCTCATAGCACACACCCGTTCAGCGACAGGAACCGGCGGCAATGTGTGGCTGCCTTTGATCGTGTGTGCCGATAGCTGCGGCGGGCGGCCGACGGATACGGAGCCGAGAATAACCCCGCGCCGAGTCTCAACAAAGCTGGCCGCAGCCCGCCGACCTCCCGGCGGCCTCCGTTCAAAGCGGGCTCTGGTTTCCACACAGCTTGGCTGGCTATCTCAGCTTGAGAGGCGATGAAAGGGTTATGTCGTCTTCCGCCCGACGCCCACCGCTCAGCGTGTACCGTACTGTGTAAATGGCTCCTGGGATTCAGCACCCTGTAATCTGTATGCCTCGCATTGCCAACGGCAATGTCACATTGTCATCTGGTCACTGTCAATGTCAATGTCATTGTCAATGTCTTGTTCGTGTTTATACTGGCCTGGAAAATAATTGGTGAATGGTGATATTAACAAACTATTGCATATTACCTAGCTGCAGGGGTCTGGCAACCAACAATATAATAAGAGCAGTGAACAGAAGGCGCCGATCTTCCTGGTTGACCCATCGTCAAGTTTCAAGCGACGGCGGCAGCCTCTGAGATACCTGTTACCTACTCAAGATCAAGTCATGCCATACCGGTGCCTCACTGCAGTCGGTCCGATGATCCTATGTCGGGCCGCCACAGATGCCCCCGAACCGGAGCTCGTGCCCGGTGCCAGACCCGTTCCCACGGTCATTCGGAACCGACACGTGACATTGGTGTCGGTTTGACAGCCACCGGAGACGCCGCCGGTCGGCTTCGAGCTCCGAGTGACGTGAAACTGGCGCCAGCGCTGAGATTGCAACCGATTGGGGACACCAGCTTCAGACCGTCAACAATGGGCTGCTGCATGCGATAGGCATCATCCGCCCGGGCTCTGGACCTGGCTTCCGCATACGACAGTTCTTGCAGCATGCACTCTACATAAATTGTTTTCATGGATGCTTATGTTTGTACCAATCATAAATATCACTCACAATCTTTGGGTTTTGTTCACCAGCTGCTGCGCTTCACAAAACTGCTCCAAGCAATATTATCGTAGCTCTGTGCCCCTAGTTCCAAGCCACGTCCGGCACAGAGCGAACCGCGCTGTGGCTGACGAATGCCTCAAATTAGCCGAGTTATTCCATCGATGAGCTGCGGCGATTTATGAAGTGGTGGTAAAACGTCCGTTTAGCAGCGAGCCTATTGGATCACCGGCTGTCTGCGTGTGGCAGGCCGGAATCCATCTCTCGGCCCGGCACCAAGCCAGCGGCCGCCAAACATAACCAATACGTCTCTGTTTCGGGAGTCCGCCGATGACATGTGAGCTCCCTTCTCTGGCCCAGGTCTCCCGCTCCTGAGTCACCAACCTCGATTCTCGGTCAGATAATCTCTGACATTGTCCCTTATGACCTCGGCTCATTCATCAGGGACATACAAACTCCTCCCTCGGAACATCTTTCACGAATGACCGGATTTGTATGTCCATGATATTCCCAAAGACCTCGCAAACAATAAACCTGTGGTCCCTTCGGACCTCCTGACTAAAAATGACCATCTCCCCGGCTCTCAGAGACTATCACGGCCAACGATCAGACCTAACACCTCTCGGTAGACGGTAGACGGGGTTGCGACCCGTGCCGTCACACCCCTCGCTCCATCTCTCCCGCACACCGCGTACCCATCCGTCTCGACACTCGCCTCGTCGACGCGTCGGTTTAGACAGACACGGAAGCGGCACAAAAGCGTCCGTCACATACCTGTGACCGGCTCCGTCAGGCGGCGCGCTCCTCGAGACAACCGTGACGTCTCTTCTGTCGACACCTGTCGGCCCGGATCGCTGCGTCGCGTCGCGGCCGATGCCGTTTGTCGACGGCGACGTTACAGTTCGTCGAAGGCGACGATGCTGAGCCGGAACGACGCCGAACGAATGGGCGGCGGCGATAGTGATGGTCGAACTGGTGAGGCTATGGTGGGATAGTGATGTAAGCCATTAGAGAGTTATAGGTGATTGTGACTAATTGGGGTATGGAGAGAATTAAATTCATGCATACAGCCACTTGCTAAAAGACCAAAACGGTAAATATCAATTAGAAATACACATTTAACTGTTTAATTTTTTGCTAATGCATTTTCCTTTCACTTTCCTATCTGAAACAAAACAAAGGATAAAATAACTGCATCAGAGAGTAAAGAGAAAGACACGCGATTGGAAGTTTAAAATAAACATTCACTTATTCACAGCCCATTTCAGACTTGTTAGCTGTAGTAGGTACAAATTCCACTTCCCTTCTCTAGTTCTTTCGGATACTTCAGTTCACATCTTGTTACCTGTCGGCTGTCACAAGCCATCTCAGCCGACAGGCTGCATTAGCTCACATGCAGACAATCACCTCTCGATTGTGTAAGCCGGAAAACGCTACAGCGACATGCTATCGACTCTGCAACGAGAGCGAAGGCGCGGCGGCCCGACCGAGACAAGCTGCCGTCTGTGGGAACGGTCGGCCAGACGTGCTCTGCAGTGCGTGCCTCTCACCGTGTCGACACGCGCAATGCGTGTCGGTTGCAGAGCAACTCCGCGCTCTCCGATATAGGGTGGGCGTGGTCAGGCCGGGGTGGGCCGTGCGAAATGGTGCGTGCTGCTCGCGAGTCGGTCGATCTGCTGCGGGCGGTTAGCAGCGAAAGGAAGATGATGGAGAGATAGGTTCTGTCGACTGTCACCAGCAATAATTACCCACGATAAGTCTGACTTTGGCCAAGAAGACCGCGTGAGAAATGCGATATAATTGATGTGTTTCGATCTGGCTGAGTTGATTTCAATGTATTTGGCTAAATGATGGCCGATTGTTTCGCGTCAGACATTGACTGCGATGGCGAAGACCACCCATTGTCTGTGGGGCTGCGGGAGGTACCGTGGCAACAACTGCAATAATCCCGTGTCACGCCGATCCCGTGCGATCGACCTTGAATCTGGAGCTACCAAGACTCTGGGCACCCATCGGAACCGCTTCCATCAAGACAGTTCCCACGTTCGACGCATTTTTGTCGTGCTAGGAACGTCGTCGCAGCCATCACCGCGATGGAATCCGGCGCGCAACCCGAGCTCGCTTCAAAGTGGCCGCGCTTACCGAGACCATGAATACCGATCGTCTCGAGCTGCGCACCACCGGAGGCGGCGTGGTGCGCTGGCCGCAGCGGGACTCCGAACTAATTTCCGGCGCCCTGTGGCCACGTGCGCCAACTGAATGGTCGAAACGGAGAGACGGTGGCCGCCAGGGCTCGCCGCTCGTCGTCAAAGACGGGCGCCGGTCCGCGCGCGAAGCGGCCGAGGTCGCGGCTCTATGGAAAAGGCGGGGCGGCACGGGCGGCCGGTATCGCATAAATAACTGGTCCATACATCCTCAGAGCGAGACTGTGTCTGTGTGTCTATGTCGGCCAGCGGTCCGGGACCGCGCGCTTTGTTCGCCCCTGCCTCGCTCGCGGCGATGTCCCCAAAGTTTAGTCAAAGTCGGTTAGAGGCGACCGGCAAGCACTTTCCCAACCGGTCCGCGTCAGAGCGCTGTTTAGAGCATAGGAAGTCGTCATCCATTCTGATCAGGTGAGAGGGCTGAAGTCAAAAAGGAGCCAGCGTCACGATGGTATAAAATGTAGCCCTCTCCCCCTTCCAGTCTTGGTCGCATCGAAGTTCGCCATAGCCACATCGAAGTTCAGTATGTCCTGCGAATGGTCGCTTCAACGCGCAACCTCTCCCATTCAACGTTCATGTTCAACTAGAGACGAGCTGTCCGTGGTAACTCCAAGGCGCGACATGTCATGTTCGTGGTCTCCTCAGGGCGTGACATGTCCTGTTTGTCCCTGCTCCCGGAGCGCGACGACCTGCGCCTGCTCAGGGCTCAGGCGGTAGGCCCTGTCCGCTCCGGTTACCCTGTTTTGTCTCGGCGGTTCCGAGCCGGCACCGGCGGTCGTTTTTGTCACCGACACAGGCCAGAGGCTTTCACGGTTTCTTGGATTTCAGTCTTACCGGCGCG